TGCGGGAGCAGTGGCTGGTCACGCTGACTCAGAGACAGGAGTATTTAGACCAGCAGCTGCAGAAGATCGTCTGTAAAGCAGGTACAGCTGCAAACACAGGGGACTCACTGGCCACTTCATTAGGTACAGCTTGCTAGTACTGAGTTACAGCGTTTTGTCTTCAAACTTTTGCATGTTGTTCAACAAAAGCTGGAAACATTCCTCACAGATCTGAGTCCGATGGGTGCTGTGTGATGGTTACAGGGTCGGGCGCAGACGTAGGATGTGGTGCGTGCCAACAGTCTCTGACACGCCTCTGAGCCAACCGTGTGAATGTGCAGCACATCCAGGTTACATGTGTTGTGCATTCAGAGACGCTGCAGTTTTTACTGCCGTCACCCAGCTGGGCGGTGGCACGGACACCTTTGTGTGTCGAGGATGAGGAGAGGGTTAGGGTGAGGCGCATCTACTAAAAAACTGGACGAATTTAAAGGTCAGAGTGATTTCTGAAAGTCGTGTGAGAGCAATAACTGGAGAACAGGGCGGTGTATAAAATAAATACGATAGGCGTGTCCAGGCTGAGGGACGGCACAGGTGGTCGCTGTCCATCACCCAGAGAGCTGCCCCTAACCTCCAGGATGGCTGTGTGAGGAAACAGCCAGCAGATCAGGAACGTCTAGATTCCTCAGACCAGCCATGAGCCAATAAGCACGGCACATGCAAATCACACGTGAGCTGTGACCTCACGCTGCAGGTCACCTTCACCGTGTTTGCATTTCTAAATATGTTCAGTTGGTGCAGCGAGTTATTAGTTTGTTTGGGTTTATGCAATAATATGAAGGGTGTACCTAATATAACGACCAGTGAGTGAATCTATAAATTAATAAATAATGATAAAAATCTGTTGTCTGTAAAACCTTGAACTCGTGGAGCGGCGTTTTCACCACTAAGCGTTTGTGACGTTTTCCTGCTGCTGCTTTCGTTTCCTGCGAACGCGCACAGACAAGTCGGAGGATGACGTTGAAAGGGAATCGCAGCTGTTGGAGTGTCGTCTGACCCTCACCGAGGAACGCAACGCCGTGATGGTTCCGTCTGCTGGCAGCGGCATTCCCGGAGCGCCAGTAGAGAGGTGGGTGGGTTTTATGGTTTCTGTGTTTTCTAAACAACAGAGAAGAAAACGAGCAAAAGATTTTTGGTAAAATGTGGAACTGCTCCAAAAAGCTTTCCTGTGTTTAGAAAATGAATTAATGTGAGGAAACAAGCAGAAACCACAGTCTCCAGTGTTGTTTTATTTTACTACCTAAAATTTCAAAGCTTCTAAATGAATGTGACCAAAAAGCAGTTAAATTCATTCTGTTTATTTTCTGTCTTTTGATCTGGATGTCAGACTGTTTGTTCTTTGGATTAGTCTGAATCTCACTTATTGAGTTAATGACAACAACAGTAAATAATCACTTGTAGCATGTTTGTAAGTGAGCGTACCGTTAAAAACTGCTTTTACAAGAAGCCGTCGAATGATCCTCGGGGCATCAAACACAGAGCGCCATCTTCACTCAGGAACAAACGTTAGCAGCTGGTCACTTTCTCCACAGGGTGCCTGTCCCGGGGATGGAAACGCACACTCCCGCCCTGTTTCTGGATCTCAGTGGTATGTTGTTGTTGTTCTCTTGGTAAAAACCACCGGTGCGTAGCAGCCGCTGACGCTCCTCACCGTGCGTTTTCCCTCCAGCCGACGATTTCCAGTCCAGTCTGTCGGGCCCGCTGGCCGGAGGACAGGACGCGCTGCTCAGTGGGGAAGATGAAGACGACTTCTTCGACCTCCATATTGTTAAACACTACGATCCAGAGGTGAGGAGGCTGTAAAGTGACTTTTCCCTCAGGTTTCTTCTTCCTGTTTAGAGAGAATTAAAAGATGCAGATGGAGGGAAATCTTGAGCCGGTCATTTCTTGTGAATGCGTTCCAGGTGAAGGCCGAGGCGTCCTGGGACTCCACGGTCCACGAGTGCCCCCAGCTGAGTCGCGTGGCGCCCGCTGACCAGAGGGTGTACCTGACGGTGCGCACGGTGGTGCAGCTGAGCCATCCGGCCCACATGCAGCTGGTCCTCAGGAAACGCATCTGTGTCAGTGTTACTGGGAGACAGGTGTGTGTAGCTTAGATGGTGTGATGCTGCACAGCCCCCACCTGAGGAGATCAGCTGATGTGTTGTTGCGCTGCAGGGTTTTGCCCAGAGTCTGCTGAAGAGGATGTCCCAGCGCAGCTCCGTCAGCGGCTGTGGCATCACCTTTGAAGTGGTTTCTAACATCCCAGGAGTGAGTACCAGGATGTTCATCTGTGTTAGTTCTGTGTTAGTGTTCAGGAAGGAAAGTAGAATAGAATAGAATAAAACTTTAATTGTCCCACAAGGGGAAATTTGGTTGTATCAGCAGCAAAAAACACACACATATAAAGAACAGAAAACACAGTTTTTACATATTTACATCATGGACAACAGTTACAGAGCAGAGTGCAGATAGTGTGCAAACAGAGCAGGACAGCAAAGATGTTTAAATAGTAAAGAATATTTAGAATCATTAGAAAAGTGCAGATTGTGTGATTGTAGCTGTGCATTAAAAAGCAGACATGTAGCTTCCAATAAGTTAGTGTATAAGCTGAGAAAAGTAATGTGCAGCTATAACAGTTGCTACAGCGCTGATGTAAACATCTGATTGTTGGGAGCAGCTCTGATTGTGCAGTCTGACAGCTGCAGGGAGGAAGGAGCTGCAGCTCCTTCATGCATCGAGGATGCAGCAGTCTGTCACTGCAGCAGCTCTGCAGCAACATTTACATGCATGGCTGGGAGACTCATCATCATGTTACTTTGGCCTTCTGTCTCCCACCACCTGCACTGGGTCCAGGTGCACACCAGCACAGAGCTGGCCTTCCTGATCAGCTGAATGGCAGTAAGAACAAAAGTGGTGAGCGTGTACATCTCTTGAATCTGGTGGTCATTTTAGAGTAAGAACATTTCGACGCACATGTGGAGGAATGAATCCCGGCGTTCCAGAAGTAGACGGCACGTTCCCTGTGGAGAGAAAAGGCTTTCTCGTGGACACTTTTCCAAATGAGCCGAAACATGTTCACGCTTTTCCTAACTGTACCATCATGAACGTAAACATCGCAGCCTCAGGGTGAGTCTGCTCCTGCTGGGAAGGATCAATGCTCTGTTCATTTTTATCGCAGCAGAGTGATGCGTGTTAACGTGTGTGGGAGTGACCTTTGAACCCTTTCTAGATTGATGAGCAGCCACAGTTGCTTCTCTGAGACCTTTCCTCCTCAGGTAACACACCGGAAAGCTCCAGACCAGCAAAGTGACAAAAGACTAGCTGTTATAGAAGTGCTCACACCTGCTGATGATCAGTTAATCAGATGTATTGATTAGCAGCATCTGCTGCTTGCTGTCCTAACTGCTGTGGAAGAGGTGAAGATGTACCTGCCTTATTTCCCACTACAGGACATCCACGGTCCAGAGGACAGGGAGATGCTGGCCCGGCTGGCCGCCAGCGCAGAGGACGAGCAGTCGGCCGCCAGCGAGGCGGCCATCGAGAAATACCTCCGCAGTGTCCTGGCTGTGGAGAACATCCTGACGTTGGACAGGCTCAGACAGGTGTGGAGATGTG